CACGAGAAGTGCAAAAACGCATAATCGCACCGGCCCGCCTGGTGCGTTCCAGCCTGGGTTTTAAAATCAATTTGCATGAAATTTATGACAAGAAAGAAATTTGAGAAAAAATATTTTGCTGATTTCAAAGTTCTCAATCTACGCAGCGGTAATTTACTGCTGTAAATTTAAATACGGAACTACTCAAATTTCTGATTGTGAATTTAATGAGAATGCTTCATCTGGAGACGGGGAGCGGGAGGGGGATATCGGCCTTAAAAATTCCAGTGAAATTACTTGATCACGAGTGGTCACTAATCACGAATTAAAATTTGATAAGAATGAAAAGGGCCTGGGATTGTTCAGTGCTAGTGCTTACTTTGATTAAGTTTTACTAATGTTTTGCTTCGTTGGTAAAGTGCTGCCTTATTGTTATCGAAATATTATTTGTTACTTATGCGGAAACCCTGAGGCATCAGACAACATAAAATGAATAGAATTTAGCTCAGTTTAAACGATAGATTCTTTTTTTTGTAACGACTCATTTTCCCTCTCCTTGCTCCCTTTCACTCTCTCCTTACTCTCGTATTCTCCTTTTTCACACATGCAGCCCATTTCAAGAATCTGTTTCCCATTTGCAAACCCTTCTTAAGAAATCGGAGTCATCCTGAAGATGGATAAAAAAAAGAAAATTATTCAAAATAAAAAATGTGCAGTTCTGTTTTAATTTCAGTGTACAGTCAACACCAGCTGCAGCAACAGCAACATCGTTAGCATTTAACAGATACGGCGTAACATCATCACGAGCGGCTCGTCGTGCCTCCCTGCCAGTTGTCCTAAGCGGTATACCGGAGCAAGTGTCGTTGCGTACCGGAAGTGCTTCTGAAGTTGTTGCATCTGGCGGCCCAACAGCACTCGTAACGAATCTATCGGATTGGCTTAAAATGAGTAGCATTGGTCGAGTACGAAGCCGCCGGCCTTCGCTGGTCGAATGGACACAGCATATGGTTTGCTTCTTGGCTTTTTTTTGCACAGTAACTTCGGCACGAACGAAGAATGCTAAACTGATGTACCGAAGTACATAGTTTTTTTAAGGCTTGTTGTAAAGCTCCGCTTAAAATGACCAATACCTTAAGCTGGCCAGTTGAAAACGAAAACCCGCTTCTGTGACTCGTCCATTCAGTTGGCCAGCCAACACGGTTGCCTCCGGCTTCTTGTGATTTGTTGTTAATAAAAGTCTAAAATTAAGAGAAAGCCAATGGTTTAATACTATGGTATTGTTATAATAGTGCCTTCACTTCCTTCAGAAGCCATCAGAATCTAATTAAGAACTTGCATCGGTTTTCAACAAATGCTTCAGAATGTACTACTTGACCAAATCCTTCAAAAATGTATAAATTTATTTGTGGCGTGCTTATTATCTGTGCATGTTTACATCTATGTGTACCCTGACTGACCACTAAAGCAATGTTAGGACTGTCAACAAACTGGCCACTAGGCGATACAACATTGGTTAAAACAACTGCATATATAAATTTACTCTAAACAA